AAACCACTAGAACTTATTCTCTTATGGAGTCTTGTCTAGAAGTTTCTTTCCCCTACATTTTTTTTTTTTTGCTTCTGCTTCTCTTCTATACAGATAATATACAACTTGGATTGTGCTCTCAAGTGCTGTCAATCACAAAATAACGTCATATTGGAGCATCAATTGGCACCATTTTGTGGCAACATTTTGTAAGTGCACTTATAATGTTTAATCAGGTAAGAAATAATCATTGATCTTGTTTAATTAGTTGTCCTGAACTTGTTTATTGTGTTTTTTTTTGCCCCAAATTTGTTTACTAACAGTCTTAAACTCTAAGGATATATAAGTAAATTCACCCTGTGCCCCAAATTCATGTTAGGGAGATTAGTATTATTTTCAAAATCTCAGAGGAGGTGAGTGCAACTGTGAGAAACCTTAGAGGAGGTTTTTGCAATTATCCCTTTTGGAAATCGCCCTTTCAGCCGCCTCAAGAAAATGAAAGCCGAAAAATGAATTAGATGGACACGTAGCTGTTGTGGATCTTTCACTCATCTAATTATCAATTTTGTGATGTGGAACTGACAAATTTAGATTTGGATTTTTGGTTACTGCTATCCGTTTTGGATATTTGGCATCAAATGCCATGAATGAATTCCGGGCTTCTCAAATGTAACGGGTACCATATTATCCCGTGTGGTTCGAATTTCTAATCGTCTCGTTGGGATAATTTCCTTTTCCTATAGTACAAAAGTAGTTGAAAATTATTGCCATCTGACCATATATATATATAATCAACAATTTTAGATTTGGATATTATGTTACTATTATACTGTTTTTTTTCACTTTAATACATTTCACTGGTAGATAAGGCATAGCTAGAGGTGCTAAAATGGATGACTTGGGCGGATTTGGGTTGGGTAAAATGGGTAATGGGTATAAGTGAGTCAACCCATTTATACCCATTTAATTATATGGGTATAAATGGGTAAGTCAAAAAATGAATTAGATAACCCAGTTACCCATTTATAACCCATTTATTTTAATTTTTGTAAACTCATTTAAATTCATTTTTGCAAACTAAGTTATCAATTTATACTACTTTTTGCACCCATCATTAGTTTTAAATATTTACTCATAATATTCAATAAGCCTAATTATCAATTTTTTTCCTATCCGTACTCTATGTCGCAAAATTATATACTATTTAATAATTGAATAATAAAAATTTAAAAATTTAAATTAAGTACTATAAAAATTAACATAAAAACTTAATCCAAAAATTTTGAACCCCTAATATTTTTTTCATGTATAAATTTAAATTTTCATTTTGAAAATGTAGGAAAAGAGGCTAAAACTTTATCATAAATTGGTAATGCTAAAAAATGAGTAAGTTAACAAATTAAGAGAAAATAAAATGATAAAATAAAACCAACAAATAACAACAATAATAAAACAAAAGTAGTTAACATCATAACAAAATGAAAAATCTGAAAAAAAAAATGGGCGGGGGAAGAGAGAAGATTTGGGGGAAAATAATTTTAAATGGGTTAATTGGGTTTGATGGGTTACCCAATAATACCCTTTTATTAAATGGATATTATTGGGTAACCCATTTATACCCATATGCAAAAACTTAAGATATCCATACCTATCTATTCATGGGCAGGTATGAGTAAATTTAATTAAATGGGTTGATTTGCCACCTATAGGCATAGCCTATATGTATACAAATTAAAAGCAAAAATTTATAAGGAAAATAATTGGAATTCATTTTCTTTTAGATAGAAAATATGGAATTTGTGATGAGTTCATGATTTATAGACTGTAGGTTTCAAGAAAAGAATTCGAGGTTGAAATACAAACTTTGCGGTCGCCATTATTCACAAAGCCCTTGAAACTTGGTCTAGCTTCGGGTGATTTCTTGGGTATTAAAGTATAAATGGCCCTTATAATTAGGGATGGTAACGGAGACGGGCACCCGCCCCGCGGGGGGTCATTGGGGCAGGGGTTGGGGTGGGGGGGAATTTTTCCCCCCGTTTAGAAACGGGGCGGGGGTATCGCCACCCGTTTGAAAAACTATATATATATATATGTACATAATTATATATATATAATGATATTTTCAATTATACTTCTAATTATACATGTCTATTAATAAAAATTATTAATTATTTATACTAAATTTATTAATACATTTATGTTAATTTCCTAACTACACTTAATACAATAACACTTTTTTCTAAAAAAAACACAATAATAATTTAGTGATCGTATTTGTATTAAAAGTGAAAACTTGATTATTTTAGTTATATTTGTTTTGTCATATTAGTATTGAAATAACCTTTGTTTATTTATTTTTATGAGTTTCAATTGTGAAGTTATAATGAATAATAATTTGATGATATGTTAATATTTTAGTACTTGATTATTTGATCAAATTTAATTATAATGAAATTATATTATGAAATTTAATTTTAGTACTTCCCCCGCCGGAGAAGCGGGGCGGGGCGGGGGGAATTAAAATGCAATGGGGCGGGGGTTGGGGAAGGTGTCCCCCGCCCCATTGCCACCCCTACTTATAATCCTTGTTTGGTGAGAATTTTCTAAATACAGATTAGGCAATTTCGATATATTGAGTAATCCCCACACCCTTAATCCCCTCTCCGGCTTCTTAAACCCCAAATCCTACCCCTCCTGAGCAAAACCAGGACGACATGAGAGGTGTACATTGTACACTTATTTGTTTGGATAAAGATTATTTGCTAAATTTTATCTGTTTGTATTATTAACATATTTTTTAATTATTTTTTTATCTCATATAATCACATCAGAATGTTATGTTTGGATAAGAGTTTATTTGAATGATTTATTTAAGATAATTACTGTAGTACTCTTTGTGATGTGATATATGTGAGATAAAAAGATGATTAGAAAAATAAAAAGGTGATTGGAATTTGTGAAGTAAATTATTTTGTATTATATCTATCTCAAAGTGTTTCACAAAATTATCCCAAATAATCTACTATCCAAACACACTATATGTAAAGTCAATGGTGAATCCAAGGAGAATTATTAGTGTAAAATTGCAAATTACTAACCCTTAAGCATACTGCTAATTGACAAAAATAGTCCCAGTTTGATAATGTGTTATAAGTGTGAGCGAAGCTATAAAGCTCCGAATGGGGTGACCTTTATAATTTTTTAAAAAATTTCACATAAGATATATTGTACTACTACAGATGTTTGCTCCCTAAAAAATGTACTGGGATCAATACAAATAAAAAATTGAGGTGGGGCTCAACATTCCAATAAATATAAGAGTTGTTATTGAATTATAAGAAACTTTTAGTAGGAGAAAAAGTGAAATATGAAAAAAAAAAAATGTGAACAGTAAAACATTGATTACAAGAAAAAATCCGTTAGAACCAAAAAACAAAAACAAAAAAAAGAAGTTGAGGAGATACGAAGAGAAGAAGGGAACATACTAGAAGACGACCAAGATTGGATCAATGATCTAGGACTAAACTGAGATGATAGACTGTGGAACAACTTGTCAGGAGAAAGAAGAAAATACCATAAACTCTAAAAAAAAAATCTAGATTTGATATCAAAATTTTGAACAATAAAGCTAGTAGAATTTAAAGTTTTAAGGTTTATTCATTTAATTGATATTTAATTTTACAATACTTGTTGCTTTATTGCTTAGTCTAACATCATATTGTTATATCAATATTGTATTTATATGTAATAATCAATTATGTAGTTAATAATTATTGTTTAGGGATTTTACGTGTAACTACTAATTTATAATTAAATTAAGAATAAATCGGCTATAATCGCCATTAAACTACTAAATACACAAATTCAATGCATAAACCGTTTGTAATTGATGAAATATTACATTTGTTTAAGATTTGGTGTAAATAATGGTATAAGTTGCGTATTTGGATGCACATTTGTGATTTGTTTTCCTTTTCTTTTTTTGCTTATTTTTTTTTCTTTGAACATTGTCAACGAAATTAAGTGTTCCTTTTTTTTTCCCAACATTATCAGAAGATAAGTAGGAGGGAATCAGGGGGAATGGCGAGGACCACCTCCTCCTCCCCCCTCCCCCCTCCCCGCCACCAACCACCTACCAAAGTTTTAGAAAATTCAGTTTCTATCTCTTGCAAAATTAGAAATTTTTAGAACATTCTTTTCAAATTTAAAGTTTGCCCCAATAAAAACTTAAAAATATTTTATGATATACATATAAATTTAGATACATTCAAATTCGCGCCCTCAAGATGAATTTCTGGTTTCGTCTTTGTAAGTAATCCTAGAGGACAATTATAATGTATATATGACATTATAGAGTTTTAAAACAGGTGTAGTTGAGCCTTTTCAACGAAATTAAGTGTTCCTTTTATTCTAACATTATCTATAGATGACGATTGGGGGATATGGTGAATTTTCGTTCCTAACTTTTTGGCTAATATCGATTTAATCCATAATTTTTTAAAGACAATTTAATACTCAAACTTGTTTCGCAATTCCAATTAAGGATTGCGACAGCGGCACCGCTACATAAAACCAATCTGACTCCTAATTAACTAATTAAACAAAGGTATTATGAGAACATGGCTTAGAAGACTGTAATAAAATAAGTAAATCGTGTAAAAAATAACCAAATAATTTTTTTAAAATTTAATCTTGTGATTTTTTAATATAATTTACTTGATTTATTAAAGTCCTGTGAGTGATGTTTCCAAAATACTCCAATTTAGTTAATCAATTATGAGCCAGATCATTCTTAGGTGGTGGCACCGCCATAGAGATCCTTAATTAGAATTGATAAGTTCATGTATCAAATTGATTAGAAATAAAAGTTAGAAACTAATGGACAGTAGTGAAATAATTTAGGGACAAAATTAGTCATTTTTCCATACAATGATAATGTATATGTGGCAATTTACTAAAATAGGTGTCGTTGAAGCCGTCTGCTTCTCACATTTAATATTTTTTGTTTTTTCAATTAGTTCAAGTTGCAGTCTCCCCCTGTTGCTGTTGATGTTCTAACTTCTATCTATCGATTTGTTCCAGTATTCTCTCTAAGCCTTTATTTCAACAAGCTTTCCTTAGAGCTTTCAAGTACTATATGGGAAGAAGTCTTAATTACGCAAACCACTACTCTCTTTCTTCTGCTGCTGAATAGAGCCACCCACTCAAAAGTTATCTCCAAAATTATCAGGGGATTTCGAATCTTCTGCTGCTCACAAGTTACAACCACCCCTGCTTATACTTGCTCTTCTGGTTCATTAATATCTGTTGTGGAATAACAAGAGAAAACTGACACTTCTAGGAAGCAAATTAAATCTGCCGGGTTCCGGTGATGCCGGTGATGGTTTCTGATCAGTGATCACGTACTCCTCATCAGGATGGTGGCCGGGACGGCTTTGGTGGGCGGCCTGAGTTCTTTGAAAGATCGCAAGAAACATTCTTGTCTCTGGTTACCCAGGAATACCTTCTTCTTCTTCAGTCTCGTCCTGGTTTTTCTTTCCGGCTTCACTTTCTTCCACTTCTTCTCCTTGAAAAGAGGTACTGGTAACTAGTATATTCAGGGTAAAAAAAACTATTCAAGAAATCAGTTTAACTGCTGAATTTTAGCTTAGTTTAGCTAAATCCCCAAGAAAGAGTTTAATAGCTGAATTTGCTAATACGTTTCTTTTTTTGGATTTTGTTGGGTTTGAATTCTGATATATTATTGATTTTCTGTTGGATTAAAAAAAATTCCCATGCCATCCAATACTATTCTCTTGTGGGAAGTGAAATTGAAGTGTCGATGAATGACTTCTATAATTGAACTAAAACTTATGATTAATTAATTGATCGTGTGATTATGTAGATGAGTACTTTCGTCCAAAGCTCAAGTCCACGTTGCATATTTTCCCGATGGAAGCTGTTTCCGGCGAGTCATCGCCGGCGACTCCGGCCATCACAATTCAATCGACGGTAGCTCTTCCTGACCAGGTTCTGGTGTTCCTAAAGTACCCTCCGTCAACTCCGTTATTTGCCAAAGATGACATCAGATGTATATACTTGTCCTCGCCCAACTCAACCAATAATCATCATCATCATGATCAGCTTGAGCTCTTCCCAGAATCAGTGGAGGACGAACACCTGGATCGGCAGATCGTACGGTGCCCACATGTGCCACGTGGCTTGGTGGTTTCTGTTTCCTTCAAGGCCAATGGCAACTTCCCAATCGGGCCCGTATATCGGTGGGACTCATTGGCCTACGAGGCGATGATCGACCGTGACAACACCACGGTGGTTTTTGTCAAAGGTTTTAATCTACGGTCAGGACGGGTCTATGACCCTTCCAAATTCAAGTGCGTCTACGGTTGGGATTTGTCGAGACCCAAGTCAACGTTGTTATCCGACGCCGTATCAGTAGCTCAGGAAATTGTGCGTTGCAAGACGCCTAGGAGCATCTTGAATGGGTCACACAAGAATTGGCACGGGAATGTTTCAATCAAGGTTTCGGTTAGGCTAGTTGATAGGAGGAAGATGTTGAATTCAATTGCAAGGCCCGAAACTCGATTGAAGCCCGGCCCAAAAGTCGAGAAACGGCACCAATTGTGCATTTGCACTATGCTAAGAAATCAAGCACGCTTTCTACGGGAATGGGTGATGTATCACGCTCACATTGGCGTGGAACATTGGTTTATTTATGATAACAACAGTGTTGATGACATTAAGGACGTAATCCGATCATTAATTGATGATAATTACAATGTTTCGCGACATGTGTGGCCGTGGATCAAGTCCCAGGAAGCTGGATTTGCTCATTGTGCCTTGCGGGCTAGAGATTCATGTGAATGGGTTGGATTCATCGACGTTGACGAATTCTTTCACTTGCCATCGGGCTTGTCACTCCATGATGTTCTCAAGAACCAGTCCAAGTCAGAAGAGATTGTAGAGCTACGGGCCGCGTGTCACAACTTTGGCCCATCGGGCCTTCGCAAGGCCCCCATGGAAGGGGTAACCGTAGGGTACACTTGTCGAATGAAGTCTCCGGAGAGGCACAAGAGCATAGTGAAACCTGAAGCACTGAATGATACATTGATCAATATGGTGCACCATTTTCACTTGAATGCTGGTTTGAGGCCAGCCAATTTGGCCAAGAACATGCTAGTCATCAACCACTATAAGTACCAAGTGTGGGAAGTGTTCAAGCAGAAATTCGACAGGAGGGTGGCTACGTATGTCTCTGATTGGAAACAAAAGCGAAATGGACAGTCCAAAGATCGAACACCTGGTTTAGGGACCAGTACTGTTGAACCACCAGATTGGACGAGCAGGTTTTGTCAGGTCAAGGACACTGGCTTGCGGGATCGTATAATCAAGACGTTTGCTGATCCAAGGACCGGCAGGTTGCCGTGGCAAAAGAATATTAGCTGAGCCGGAAAAATCAATAACAGTTGCATGTGGTGCTGGAGGAACTTGTACCATCAGTGAACTGTGCATGAGGAATCCAATCAATAAAACCAAGAAGGTAACCACTGAGCCAAATCCAGTGGCCACTGAGCAGGGATTTAAGTCTCTTCTTGAATTGTACGTAAGAGTTCAAATTATATTTGCAAAGAAAAAAATTTAAAAATGATGTCAAAACATTCATTTGATCTAGTCAAATTTGTATGCCTACTAGCTTCTAATACAAAAAACCTCTTTAGACTCTTCCTTTCCTATAAATTAGAATAGAATAGATTATATAATTGTTATCGTTACTGAATAAAAACAAAAAAACCAAGAAGGTACCAAGTTTTTTGTTAATAGTAAACTCACTGTATATTGATGCAAGAAAAAGAAAGAACTCTACGTATTGGCTAGCTTTTTGTTCCTCCATTTTATTTTTGTTCCTGTAAGAAATTGTTAGGGGTATAGAGTACTGGATTCATTCTTTTTGTACATATGTGACATTTTAACTGTTAGAATACAAATTGCAGGAGTTTGGATAGCCGTATACAAGAAAGGGGAACTGGGAGAAGAAGGCAAAAGGAATATTGTTTGCCCATTGTTCATTTTGTCAATTAGTCACTTTGCAAATATTGCCATCATCTGGTTTCTGGGCATGATTTGTCCGTCAAGCTGCTTTTTGAGCCACCGGCTTTATATTATTATTATTATTACATATAGCATCAATCTAATGGGGCTTAGTCGGCCGCTGATGGTGACCGTGTTCTAAATTCCAATGCATTTGTTATCAGTTGACTTTGCTTCCACCCTTCACTGTTTAGAGTTTAAACTTGTCCGACTTTTTCTAATTGTTCATTGTTCACTAATGCAAGTTTATTTGTAAGTTTTCCAACTAACCTGCCGACTAATTTCTCTCTTCAAAAGAGTATTTGCCTTTCAATTCGTTGAGATGCATAATAGCTTGTTAGCCATCACAAGCTATTCATGATTTTCTCAAAAAAATTTCCCTCCCAACCCCTTCCGACACTCTCTCAACCCCGATTATCAGAAACTTAATTCGAATATTGAATTTAATAACAGGAAAGACTCTGAAAACAAGCTATTCATGCTGACACGTACCAAGCTATAGCAAAATTGACTTTTAAGGTAAATTGAAAACATTATTAATTTCAAGTGCTCATTAACATGGTTGATGTGTTTTGAAGGACGGATTATCATTAATTTTTAAAAACTCAAAGAAACACAAATTAAACGAATATTTAGTACATAGATTTAAGGTCTCAACAAACATTTACGATTTTTTGGAGTGATGTATGTACTCTACAAGAAAGCTACACATGAAAACTGTGCACTTGATCTTAAGTATAATTGTAGTTGTTGAACCTTGAATCCTAAAACCCGAAAAAGCGAAAAAAAAAAAAGACAAAAACGAACAGAGAAAGCAAAGGCCTTTTTCTTTCTTTTTTCCAAAGGAAAAAGTGAAGGCCGTCGAGTGGGAGAGATAAGAGGGAGAGTAATCGTAACTGCCTATTTGATTCATGTAAGTTATGCCACAATGATGCTTAATTTGGAAATGGTCAAACGATCAATCATGCATTAGCTAAGCGATCTATATGATTGCACCCACAACCTGCACGAATGGACGAGACACTGGAGATGACAACAAAGGGGAGGTAGGACCAAGTCTGCCCTCTATTCTAAATTCACGCTCATGTAATTATTGACAAAAATGCCCTTATCTTTCAAATTTGTTTGATGCTTATTAATTATAATAGTTTCAACTTTCAAGACAAATATCCTTACAGAGCAAAAAAAAAAAAAAAAAAAAAAAAGGAAGAACAAGCGTTAACATGTAAAAGGCAACAATTTTAAACATTTTTACTAGTGCTTAAGAATATTCAATTTTAATTTAGCAATTCAGATTTTTCACTTTCGAATAAGCATGTAAATTGTAAATAGAAATATCTAGATATTTTAATTCCATAAATTTAAAATCCAATTAAGCAATTTTCAAGGTGAAATATACAATCATATTGACTTCTTCATGCTAATATGTGCCATTTGATTTTATCAAAATCAATCTAAAAAGAATTCAACAAAATAAATATAGTATGACATAAAAGGAATGAGGAAAAAATTGAAGCAACTATAGAGAATTATAAATTCTAGAATTAAATAAACAAGAAAATGAATTTCTATATAGCACTAACATAATGATTAGGGTGTGGATTTTTTGTCTTTAAGAAAGATATTATCGTTTAAATACTGTAAAAGTTTTCATTAGACATATAAAAGATAAAAATTTTAGCGTATAATAATTGTATAGGGTGTGATTTAACCTCTCCCAACAAGAAATAGGGAGTAGCACCACGAAATTGTCTATCCACATGAAGTTTATTAACCCATTAGTATAAGAAAATTGATTGTGCAAATCTAGAGATGGTTGGCTGTGATTTGGCGGTGATACAACATCTTAAGCCTTATACATAAGAGTAGGGGTGTATTCGAGCAAAGTCGAGCTCGACTACCGCTATACTCGAGCTCGACTAGGCTATAATATAATTATACTCGAACTCGAGTTCGAGCTCGATCGAGTCGGAGAATCACAGCTCGAGTTCGAGCTCGATCGAGTCCTTAAAAAGTTCGAGTTCGACTCGATAAGGGTACTCACCAGTAATTTCTCAGAATTTATTTACCTATATTAGTAATTTTATATATAATTTTTTTTTAATTTTTTATGTGATACTCGATAGAGCTCGTCGAGCTCTCGAGTATCAAATTTCTGAGCTCGAACTCGACTCGATAGCTCTAACGAGCAGCTCGAGATCGAGCTCGAGTTCGATGAAGCGAGTTCGAGCTCGAGCTCCTGATCGAGTACATATCGAGTTCGAGTCGAGTAGCTTGAATCAGCTCCACACCTACATAAGAGTCATTTGAGGGGTGAAAAAAGTTCGTTCGGGATAAACAAATAGGAGAGGAGAGGAGAGGAGAGGTATCAGATTTACATGCAAGAAAAAATTATGAGGATAGATTGTTGGAGAGAGTGAAAGACAAGTAACAAAAGCAAAGGCGGAGAAATAAAAGCATCTACTTGACAAGACACTCAAAGGAGAAGGCACAAACTTCACAAAAGGTAATTACTTCGTGTTTGCATAGGGCAAATTTGCGGTACCCGACGTATTGTCTCACAGTTCTTTCAATTTTATTGTGCTACCCCTTTTGCAGCTTTGCTTCCTCTCTTTTGTCATGTACTTTTTGCATCAGAACTGACCTTAAAAGGATTTGAGTTTTCTAAAAGAAAATTTAGCGCATGAAGATTGCTAAATAGAATTCAAAGGTAGACTTATCTACTTGACTTTTTTTTTTTTTTTTACCTCCCAATCCTCTCCACATCTTTCTTACCCCAAACTATCAGACTTAGGATTTAAATCCTGAATCTAGTAGTAAGGAGAACCACTCGAGTTAATTTTGTCTAGCAGAAAATTAGACAAAGTTTGAGGTAAAATTCAATGTTGCCCGAATTTGTTTTGTTGGATGTTAATAATCCTCACTTTCATTTCCTTTTCCTAATGTCTTAGCTAATTAATCTAGTCCTCTTGGGACCAAGAAATTTTATGTAAGTTCGGAGTAACTATTAGGCATGTTTAATACTTGATCTAGGATAAACAAAAAAGTTTCACAAGAATATATAAAGATCTCACTTACTAATTCACATGTTAAATGGAGCCCAATTGACGTATTAAATGAAATCAAGTGATATGTCTACATGAAATTTTGTAGTTGGTTTGGAAACAACTGCTTAGTAGTTGATTCGAACTAATATAAAATTTTACCTTTCGACCATTGAAATTTTGTTATCCTTAGAGAATTCAAATGGAAATAAATCTAATTTCTTGTGATTTCTTGGAATTGTCTAAATGACATCGGAAGAATTGTGCAAGGTTGGTTCTTCAGGGATCATTGGGGAAACAAAACACTACACTTATTGGCGGATCTTCATCAAAATTTCCCTCGAAAGGAAATATAAGTGCATGAAAGTATGCCATCTAGCTTTTTTTAAATTCTTTTTATCAACGGAGGAGTGGAACTTAAGAATTGAAGAAAAAGAAGGGGGATTTCAATCGAGAATTCTAATTTTTAGCGTCTCAATCCCTGTTATATTAGCGCATTGCCAGAAAATATCTAGCACCATTTGATTTATATGATAAAAATCCGCACTAATGACCTCAACCTCAACTGTAATCACTAGACCAATGCTTTCTTGACAAGTAGTCATCTACCTATTTCATTACAAGTTAATTAAATTATAGTTTGTTTAGAACTCAGTATGGATTAGAGAGAGAGAGAGAGAGAGAACAGTGTATGGATTTATTCCAATTGAACATGATCTTAATTTGGAAACGTAAAACACGCCTAAAATGAATTTAGCCATAAGAACTACAAAATCCTTTCTAAGAGTGCTATTCACGCATAAATGATTAATTTGCTGTATTTTCTATCATCTAATAATTGCATTAAAATCAGTTAAAATGGAATCACCAATAAAAAAATGCAAAATCATTTGAATTCCTTGAACAAATTATAAGTGAATTCTTATTTACTCGAACTTTGTAAGGTTTGATCTTGTCAAGGGTGCGTAAGCAGCCTGAGCATATTACCTAGGTGCAATCCCAAAAATAAGCATTATACAAAGTTTCTCTTTTCTTATTTACTTAATTGAATTCGAAAAGTGTCATCGATTGAAGTCAATTAGAATCAAGAGCGTTTCTCTTAATTTATTAAGAATGTAATTAATAGATTCAACATCTAGATTGGGTCCAACTCTTAATAATAAAAATTTGTATGACTAAATCGTATAAATGAAATCAATTAAATAGTAATTTAATCTATTTATTCTGCAAAGTCAGAATTTTTTGCCAAGAGTAGTTTTTTATTTTATTTTATTTTAGGGCAAGTGTAAAAGTAGTTAACGTTGTACTATGCCAAAAATATTTTGACTACCTTAATAAAAAAAAAGAGACTTGCAGTTTTGTTCCTCAATATTTGGCTTGTATGCCAAATTGGTATCCAATGGTTCTGCCAAAATAAATCTAATCATCAAAGTTTATAATTTTAGGTATATTCGAGACAATTAACGGAAATGGATCAATGACTAACGGTCAATATCAAATTGTCATTAGTCAACAATTTTGACTTTGCATTTTTTGGTCCTTAATATTTTGATTTTGAATCATTATATTTTTTAATTTTTAAATAGTGATATTTAGAGTTTTAGCATTTGACATGCACATTAAATGAAATAGTGTTAAATGGGTAATAAGAAGTCTAATTAAACTTCTTTTTCTTCTTATTTTTATTTTTATTTCATTTACTCATGTTAATAATATATCATATATATATTTTTTTTTGCATAGTTAGTCTTTCTCCTTATTACTTAAAACACTTTATATTGTCACAATATGATTTTAGCTTAAATAGCATATTTTTGTTAAATAAGTTATAAATCAATGATATTGTACCAATAATAATTAAAACATAAAGTATTAGAAAAAAAGAAAATTTTAATTTTTAAAATCTAAGTTTATTGTAGCTACTACTACAAAAATTGATGCATGTGTTGTCTACATAGACTTCAAATCCATTGTACTTAAAAAAACTAGTAAAGGTAAGTATCAATGTGAAGTAATTTTGGAAATTATTACAAAAACTATCATTTAGTTTTTATTGTCTTTTCTACTAATTGAAAATTAATGTCCCAATATTATAGTTTTAAAGTATTTATTTTAATATCCATGTATCTTGATAATCATTTAGTAGTTCATATAGTGTGTATGAAATGCCAACTTCATTTCAAATTCAATTGATACCTATTAAAATGCCAAAAAAAATCAACTTAATTTATAGAAGTATATATTCCTTATATTTTAAAGGGATGTTTAATTAAGTTTTTAATTATCATTAGAAATAAAAATAATAAAACTCATTATAAATTAATTATATAAGGCTAACTATGCAAAATAAAAGAAACATATGATATATAATCAGCATAAATGAGTAAAATAAAAATAAAAATAATTAAAAGAAGTTTAATTAGAATAATTATTACCTATTTAATACTATTTCATTCTAATTTGCATCTCAATTTTTGCTAAAACCTCTTAATATCACTATTTAAAAGTTAAGAAAATATAATGATTCAAAATCAAAACATTGGGGATCGAAAATATAAAGCCAAAGTTGTTGACTAACTATAATTTGATGTTGACTGTTAGTCATTGTTTTATTTCCATTTGTTGCCTAAATTTGCCTAAAATCACAAATTTTGGGGGACTAGATTTATTTAAGGCGAAACATTGGGAACTGATTTGACACATAGACCAAACACTTAATAAAGCCCAAGCTTTATACATACCTGGAAACAAAATCTTTAAGGCCCATGCTGAAGTGCTGTTTTTTCATTCCTAAAGTTATGCCATTCAACCTCTTAGCATTTTGGATGATTTGCAATTTGCCCCCTAATATTATTTTTAAAATATTTTGCCCACCGTTCCTAAATCAAATGTAATGGTATGATAGAAAGACATAGTTACCCTAAGTTTGTAATTGTAATTTTTATCCCCATGAATCTTGACTCTAGTTGCAATTTGCCCTCTTAAGATTTTCATACTCAATTCACCACCTATTCATGTCAAAGGATAAAACGATCCTAGATATTTTTCTCATTCATTTTTTACTTTTTTTACTTTTTTTTTTCTCTCTTTTAGTATTTCCTTCATTTTTTTTTTACCATTATTAGGAAATGCATTTCTGTTACTAATTCATTTGCCACAAATATGAAGTTTTACACATTTGTCTAAATAATTTATTTTTGAATTTGATGTGCATTGTAACATAAACAACATATATTTTATTATAGTATGTCGTTTTTTTTTCTTTATGTTCTCTGCCGCAATCTATTATTTTGTTGAAGGTTGGTTTTGTAGTTTGCTGGTTTTCACCATTAATAAGCAATCACAAACTCCCATGTTAAGTGTGTTGCTTGTACCACAAAGCATATATACAATTTACAAATAATTACTTAGATATACATACAAAACTTAGGGGTTCTAATTAGTCAATTCTTAATAAAGATATAATAGCTTTCAAGTGACAAGAGGAAACGGCACAAAAGAATTAAAGGAAAAAATGAGAGAAAAAATGTAAATCAGAAAATAAATTAGATGGATGGGTAAAATCCTACAAACTTCTTCAGGTGGAAAAAGTGCAATTCAGTTTATAGTTCATGGAAGTAAACTACAAATTAATTTGGATAGTAAGTTATTACACTTTATTTGTACTTTATTTACACACACTGATTTGTTTGCATCATCAACACATTTTTCAATCACCTTTTTATCTCACATACATCATATCAAAAAAGTGCTACAGTACTTTTTGCATAAAATTATCTCAAATGATTTACAATCCAAACACACTCCCTTATGGTTGAAATTTGAAAATGAGGCCAATTTTGGCAATTTAGGCTTATTTTACAATCAAAGCATGATCTTCACTGAACCAAGGGGGCAATGTGCTAAGAAAATAACACGTTTTGGGCAAAACACAAATCACCCCAAACGTTAAGGGGGTTTGATGCCATTAACCATTTTTTTCTTTCAACTTTTTTTTTTGGGGTACGGTCCCGTCCAAATCCAGCGATGGCCGTTACCATTTAGCCCCAAATCCAAGTCGATAGAGCCCAAATTTGAAAATCTGACCGTTATGTGAAGCCGTTGCTCCAGTCTCCTCCTTTTCTCTCTGCAACCCATTGCAATACTCTCTCTCGCATCTATCAAATCCTAAAACACCACTTTAGTAGTTGAACGTAAACATGGTGAATGAAGAAGTAGTTGTAATCAAGAGCCCGCATCAAAACTCAAGGAACCCTCCTCAAAAATCAAAAGGAGTTGCCCAAAATGGAGGAGATGGAAAAGAGACCTTGTTCAGCCCCAGGTTCAGATCCGTGGCAGCAATGGCTGGCTGGGACGAGGAGGCTCTTATGATGGCCAGTATTGTAGTTGAAGACACCCCAGATAGGCATTTCAAGCAAAAGAAACGCCCCACTTTGCAAAGTCTCAAGACTCCCCCTACGAATTCAAGAAGGTAAAACACGTTTTTTTATGGGATTCATGTATTGGTTCGATTCATTTTCATACCATTGAGTAAGAAAATTGAGGTATTTCCAGAAAACGCAGAGGGCAAAGGAGGAGTCCTTCTTGTCTGCCAGTGGTTGCTCTTGATCTTGAGGATGACGAGACTCCAACAGAATCAGGTATATACTCAGATCAGGGATTTCTTCTTTTTTTTTTTCTTTGATTCTCTTAAATCTTTCTTTTAGATATATTTGATTTCTTGGGTATTTTGACTTTTTAGACCTTTTTTTTTTAAAATAAATTTGTGAGTAGAGACCAAGAAAGAGATGACAGAATCAACAACTGTTCGAGATAAAGAGAATAAAAGAAGTGGAAGTCAATCCGATGCACAGAGTTCCATTAATTCCTCTTCCAGTTCAGCTATTCCATGCATCGATCGACTTCGTGAAGAGCTTTCTTGTGCAGTAAGAGCTACAAAACTCCTGTTATTTGATAACTCCCTGTCCGTAGCTTCTTTCATAAGATTCTTTGATTAAGAGTATTTCCTGTTGTATTGTGGGAAAAATGAAAGGTTTCATTTTGATTCGGCAGGTTTGTTTGGAGGTTTGTTTTGAGCCCAGCACAACTCCTTGTGGGCATAGGTATGATCCTGAATTGATTAGTAACTATTTTGGCCAAGCTTTTATTTAGAACTGTCAATCGATTGCGAGTAATTTTTTTTTTGGCGTAGTTTTTGCAAAAAGTGTTTGAGATCCGCGGCTGATAAATGTGGAAAGAAATGCCCAAAATGCAGGCAGCTAATCAGGTAATATAATCTTGATGAGTAATGAAATTTATCTTGGATATACAGTCCTTGGATGGGGGCTTCAGCAACTTTAAGATTGATTTTGCTGACGATTCTAAATCATGTTGCAGCAATGGAAGGTCCTGCACGGTGAATACAGTTCTTTGGAACACAATTCAGATGCTATTTCCACAAGAAGTTGAAGCCAGAAAGGCAGCCGGTGCTTTAAATAGTCGCCAAGCTCAGCGTCAGAGTCCAACAAGACCGAATCATACTAATGCTCGGAACAGAGCTGTTCAAGCGTTAAGCAGTCCCGAGTCAGGAAATCACAGCCCCAGCAGCAGAAGGGGTTATCAGATTACCAGAAGACAGAGTGTCCAGCCTTCTAGGTTGTCGAGGAGGAGAAATGAGTTGCCAAGCCAGGATCAGGATGCTGCATTGGCTTTGAGATTGCAAAGAGAAGAGTTTATGGGGGCATTTAGGGGACCTGATGATGAATATAGAAACTCTTTTGCAATAGCAAGAGCTAACTTGCGGGCTATGGCATCTCGGGCCATTAGAGCTAGAGGGCTCTAGCATTAGAGATATTCTGCACTTTTACTTTGTTGCTTAGTCTTCTGGCATTTTCTGTCAATTGTATACCTAGTTGGCTTGGTATCCTTTTCCTCAATGGAAATAACCTTAATTAGATGTCTCAAGATTTTTCAACCACGCTGAAAAAAAAAAATGGTTTCAAGTTCTACCACTACCTTATTATAGTCATAAAGTTGCTAAGGAGCCATGATGTGGACATGTCAATTGCCAAATGCAACTGTGTGATGTTCAGGGAATGGAACAAGAACATTACTTTTAGGTACGGATTCCAAATGCGAATAGCTGTAAGACTATGTTGAATCAGCCAAGAAAAGAAGAGATTTGAACATTTTTTGTTCCCATACCAAGTCATTTTGAGAATTTTAAGTGCAATCATGGTGTTTTATAGAAGATCTAGCACTTCTTGATGCAATCTTTCTCCCTGGTTTCCTTTCTTTCATGTGAACATGACAATCATTTTTGAAAATATGGCACCACGCAATAAACTGATCTCCCCCGTCTTTCCTTGAACTGCATTGCATGCCTGATTAACAATTTTCTCATGCTATCAATTCACCCCAGACCATTGAAATTATTTGTAATTCTCCCCCCTATTACCTAGGAAACTGCAAGAATACTTTCTTTAAACCTCTTTTTTATGTTCTGTTATTTGTCGGTTTAGGTGTGGGATGTGAATTCATGCTAAACTAAATTAATGTAGGATCTGTTACTGTGTAACAACAATTAGGCAAATATAGGTCATTTCTTCTTGTTGATCCTTCGTGTTCATTTGAATTAGCAACATGTTTCCAGCTGCACCTAGTGATTGTGGTTTGTCCAACTCAGAAAAGAGCCATGTTTGAAAAAGTCCAAGGTTACAACGTGAGCTTTACCTAATCCTGACAGGAATTGGAACAAGTGTGACCTTGTTTATACAGCTTTTCAACAAGTGGATTCTATATGATCGATATTGAAACAAGTGTAACCTTGTTTATACAGCTTTTCAACAAGTGCATTTTTATATAATCGATACATAATCTCCATAGAGCAGACACTGGAAATAAAATTGGACACCTGCTATAGCCGGACTTTAATAGAATTGGTGGAATAAAAAGGTACAGAACATTCAAAATCGTCAAATTTCCCGTTATTTGTACACAACACTACCAATGGAGAGTGGCTACTACATCAGATCTCTGTCTATTGATATTTTTGGCTTCATAAAATAAGAAACAGTCTGCAATGACCTAAACTTTCGACAGGATTGTATCATCCGGTGCCTTTTCAAATATGTCTGAAGCCATGCATGCGCAAATAAACTGTATAGTTGACCTTAGCTTGGAGGAAAGACTTGGCCAACTAACACCCCCAAGTAGTGTTTTTCAATCACCTTACCCACGCCAGAAGCTAGCTCACACCCGAGCTTGGAACACAACTATAAAAGAGTGCAACTGGTTACAATTTACTGGACCATTCTCGTCTTGGAAAATGGCAAATGCAAGATCGTTCTCGCCATTTTGCTCAGTTTGCATACAGGTGACAGTCTTGATAATATTGATGGCCATTTCTTCAGGAGCAGCACCTTCTCCCGCAGCCGAACCGGGTTCATCCCCTCATCCTAGTGCTCATCGTGGGAGCACTCATTCTCCAGGATCGGCGCCATCTCCTCAACCTGGCAATGGGGGGACTGCTGCCGCTGACTTCTCCCCTCCTTTCTTCATATCCATGCTCATCGCTTCCTTACTACCACCCTTCCTCTGTTTCTCTTACTGAGTTTCCATACATGTATTCAGATTGTTCAGCACCTTTATCTGGCCTTATGATGTATCTTTTCTTGTTTTCATGATTCCTTGTTTGAAAAGCATCTAAGAGGGCACACCATTACTGCCACATGGGACATGGTTGGATGTTCTTGGTTGGATGATTGTTTTCTTTCCAAATAAGACAGCCCTCAATAGTTACTCTTTCTGTTCTATTGTACATTGCCACTCGTGTAATACAACATCTGTTCTGTGAATGGCATGGAAGGTTATATTTTCAACTTGATAAAATTTGTTGTTCCAAATTTGAGTCATTTCTCTCTTTTTTATTCTTAATAAACTGACAAGTTCTAGCCCAAAACTAATGGTTATAGGGGAAACTTATTGTTTTATCTGCTATTTATGTGGTAATGTAAAGTTACCATGGCACCAAACTTAAGTGACAAAGTTTGCAAAATGATCAACAAAAGGTCACAAGAACATACTTTGTTCCATTCCAAAAGTCTAGGATGACAATCATTCTGATAAAGCTAACTAAAATTTTCCCTGTAACTACAAATTTGCCCCAACACAAAGGACATTTGCCTAACAATAAGTATTCAAACCCGGCTTTTTCATCTTGAAATGAATTCTTCACCCTCTTCAAGATTAGGAGAAACTAGTCCAGTAAGAAACGGTAGACAACTCACAGCACAAGCTAATTACAGGAAGCTTTTTGGAATTATACATACAAATGTATATTATACGAATACTACGAGTATTTACTAACTAGGTTCTAATCCATCATACATTTCCAAGACAATTGGCAATGGCCAGAAAATAATTGCTTTGAAAGAAAAAGACAATGGATAAGGTATATTAGTTGAATTAATCAATTTCTATGTCTCTTCATAAAAAAAAAATTATATTAATCGTGTCGCAGTGCTGTTTATCTAATTGTTTTAGATCAGCAAGTTACTCCAGGTAAACAATAGAGAGGACCAGCATCTGAGATCAAACAAGGAACCAAATCTCCTGAAGCCACAGAAAATAATTGAGATCCAGAATACAGAGGAGAGCTGCTTCCTGCTCCGGATTGAACAAAATAAGCCTCATTAAGGAACACATCATTCGAGCTTCTCCAATTCCAATTATTCCATACTTCCGGACCATCCATAGTATCTCTCTTGGTAACCTACCAAAAACAAAAAAAAAGGATAATTTTCTTTCCTGTTTTTGGTAGATATATATTCTGGCATACAAAATTATGATATTATGAGGTAAAAGATTATTCAGAAAAAACATTTGGAACAATGATGTCGCACTTTTTGTAGTATGATTTAGGTAGAAAAAAAAACAAAAAAAAAGTGATTGGAAATTGCTTTTATATGAAAATTTTTTTTTTCCAAGAATGGCAATTCAAACAAAGCACCAGCAAATCATATGCATAATCTTGCATTAATAATTCGCTTTCCTGTTCATAGTAGATATCTACTGTGGCAAAAGATTATTCAGAAAATTTTTTTGAGAATAATACCGTAACACTTTTTATGATGTAATGTACATGGAAAAATAACATGGTTAGAAACAAAATATTGTTGAAGACTTTCATGCATGATTATTGAACTCATTCTTGGAAATTTTCATGCATTAATATTGTTGAACCCTTGTATAGAGTGGAATGTTTTGTATCTCAGCCTTAACAAATATTTGATGCATTTTTTACTCAAATAGATATCCTACCTAATTTTTTTTTTAGATTCTTCATTTTGTCATTATGTTAACTACTTTTGTTTAATTTATTATTATTATTATTTGTTTGTTTATCTTATCATTTTATTTTCTCGTAGCTTGTTAACTTGCACAATTTTTAGCATAACCAATTTATGATAAGTTTTAGCCTCCTTTTCTACCTTTCCAAAATGAAATTTTAAATATACACACGAAAAAAAAAATGTTAGAGATTCAAAGTTTTTGGATGAAGTTTTTATGTTAACTTTCATAGTACTTAGTTCAAAATTTTATATTCTTATTTTTCAATTATTAAATAGTATGTAATTTTGCGATATAGAGTATGGATGGAAAAAAATTGGTAATTATGTTTATTGAGCATTATCAGTAAATATTTAAAACTAATAATGGGTGCCAATGGTGGTATAAATTGATAATTTAGTTTGCAAAAATGAATTTAAATAATTTTACAAAAAGTTAAAATAAAGGTAATTGAGTTACTCAACTCATTTTTTGATATACCCATTTATATCCATCTAATTAAATGGGTATAAATGAGTCGGAAACAAATGAGTTGACTCATTTATACCTATTATCCATTTCAATCCATCCAAATCACCAATTTTGACATCTCTACTTACAATGAATTTGCTCCAACACTAAAGGCAATCTTCTACAGGATGTAATAAAACTATTCTCTTGATTTCTCAAAACAAAGTGTAAAACCCGTACTTCAATTCTGACTGAATCCTCGTTACAGATGTTAAAAGAGGTGTTTGAAGAGTTATTTTTGTGTTTTAGACAGTGGATGGTAGTAGTTACAAGTACCCGAGTTAGGATGGCTGAACATTTGAGTCCAAACGGGCCATAGTGTCTAGAGAACTACGTTAAATCTTGACACAGTTCCGGTTTCAAAACATTTACTTTGGGCCACGAACATCCACTTTGACAGATTTGCAAAGTTTTTGCAAACTACTCCATAATCCCCCACTAATTTGCAAAACTTATGCATCCTAAGACCTGGCAATTATACCCAAAACCTAACAACCCACCCAACCTATCCACTAATTTGAGAGGTTGGGTTGGGTAGTTGGATTTTGGGTCAATTTTGGGTTGGGTAATAAAAATTCACATATATTTTGGGCGGTTTGGGTATTTGTGTTGGGTATCCATTACCTAACTTAAGTTAAAAAAATAAATAAAAAATTAAAATCAAGAAACAAGAAAAGACCTGGAATCATGTAATGAAGCCAAATGTTGGATCAAACAAAACATCTCCTGGCCAAAGTTTTATTCGACAGACTTGTTCATGTCTTATATATAGTTCGAAATGGCTATGGACAACAATTAGTGAAATTTTTTTTATTGTATGTGAAAATGTATTTGAGAGAGTTTATGATCAAAATTTATTAATTAATATATTGGGTCATATTTGGGTCATGGATTTGAGTTGATCCAATATGACCCAACCCAAAATTAACCCAATCTAAAGTTGGGCGGGTTGGGTGTAACTCATTTAAATGAAAACCCAATATTAACCCGCCAAAAACTCGTCCAACCCACCCAATTGCCAGGTATAATCCTAACCCATGGAGTCTCCAATGGTACAACTTTAACCGAAGAATCTTAAGCATAATTAGAAGTATCTCTT